TATATATACATTTAATTTTGTGAGATTTATAACATTTCCATATTACATTTTAAAGTTATGTTACATATTGGTACATAAATGAGATGAGTTGTAGACCAATCAAGACTAATACAAGTAATTTAGTAAGGTTTTTATTATATTATCTAAAATATAAAGGAACACAACATACATAATATAAATATAATAACATAATATTGCAATAACACAATATTACAGTGTCAATTCTGCCATTCCTATATTTTATATGTGCATAGTGCGGCTAAAACCTCAGATAGTCCGCTCAATTTACAAAGTAATCAGACATTTTGACTGATGGGAATTAAATTTTACAAAATAATGTTTGGACAGGATTAGCGTGCAATAAAACGCTTTTGCTGACCACGCAAAAATGTTTATATATATATATATATATATATATATATATATATATATATATATATATATATATATATATATATAAACAATTTTAATAATGCATTCTACAAAATAAAGTGCTCAATTTTCTTAAAAAAACAGAGCAATTATAAATTAGAAGAAAATCACTTAACAAATTTTATTTTTCATTTTACACTGTGTTTCATCAACAAAGACTCATCAAAAATGAATGATCAAATTAATAAAACTTCAATTTATACCAAAAAATTAAATTACAGGAAGTCGCAAATGTTTTTACTACTGTAAATTTTCACACATTTGTGGAATTTGCTGACACTATTATAAAAAGAATTCTTTAGAAATGATTACTTATGCTTTTTTTTATAAAAATATTTTTAAAAAAGGGGGGATTTAATGTAACTATTATTTGAGCTCACTTATTTTTATAGTTTTTTAAGAGAAACTTATTTTTGTGCCTGCATTTAGAAATCAATTACGATTTTTTGTTTAACAAACATTCTTGGTTTTGCATGTGTAATCATTTGAAATTTTTCTTGTAGACATAGTATGCATTTTTTGGAAATATTGTTGTATGCAGCACAATGAACCACAGTGACCACTAGGTTTGAAGTCTCTGCACATCAGATTTTTTTTTTATATATATATACTTAGTTGTATATATGAAAATAAATATTTAGTCAGTAAAAACCTCTAGGGGAATGGAAAAATGTATGAAAATCAAAAAAAAAAACATATAGTTTTTATTTAAAAATATCTGCTATTTGCAATAAAATTGTTCTAATTTGCTAATCAAATACCGGCATTTTTTGATTTTAAACCTATTCTGCTGCACAACGACTTGAGTTTTACTAAATGGCGGTCAACAATTTATGTGCTGCTTGTTTTAAAACCTTTGGTAAAAAGTCAGCAAAGCTTCATAAAATAACTAAAGCTATTGAAGAAAAAATAAAAACTTTTATTTGGGATGATCAAAATTTAGCAAACCATCCTGAAGTTATTTGTAGCAGTTATTATAAAAACCTTTATTGTTTGGAAAAAAATGATACAAAATACCTTGATAATTGGCTAAAGCAAATTTCTCAGGTTAGTTAAAAAGATTAATAAAAAAATATATTCAAGACTTAGTGTTTGAAACTTTTATTTTTATCAATTTTGTAAAAAGAGCTGTGTCTCAATGATTCATTGAGACTCAGCTTCTTATTTTTGTTGATTCATTGAATGATTTAATGAACCTTTATAAATTTAAAAAATTTTAAACAACTTGTTATATATAACAAGCTGTTTAAAATTCCTACATATAAGAACTAATATGTTATTGATGTGTTTATTAATAATGTGTTATATTTTTTATATGACTATTTTATATAGTTTTAGATTTATTTGTTTAGATAAACCGTCAAGATATCAGAAGAACTTCAGATGTTTCAAAAATATCAAAAGATATTAACATTATTACTTCTGAGTTAAATGAAGATAAAAATAAAAGGATGTGCCTAAAATGTTGTGAAGTTGTTAAATCAGGCATTATGCATCTTTGTAATGATGTTCAAGCTGTGAAAAATTTATTTAATGCAGCATATGCATTGGGATCAGCAAGTGCAGAGCGTGTCGCTTCAAGTGTTTTAAAAACAAAAATGGAAAAGAAAAATATTTTTAGAGGTGAAAAATTCACAATTGCTAATCATGGGAAACCATTGACTATTGTAGCTGGAACTATGGGCAATAAATGTGGTTGTGCTAATCTTAGTCAAGTGTCTTTTGGAACAATCATTGAGCTTATAAAATGTTTAGAACTACCTCAGTGTAAAACCAAAAAAATGTGTTCTCTATTTAGAAAAAGTCTTGGCTCTCAAAATAGCATAGAAGGAAATATTATTGAAAAATTAGAGGCTTTAAAAGCAGAAATGAATGAATATTTTTCATATAAAGAAGAATTTTTTGAAGATGGCAATATAGTTAATAAATCAATGGTTTAAATAAAGAATAATGATGAATTTATTCATAATATAATCACTGAAAGGAATATTAACCCTCTTTCTACAATTGTAAAAGTTGCTGTGGATTCTAGTCAAGGTTTTTTAAAGGTCACTATGAATCTTTTTAATCCGCAAGATAAAACTACCAACCAACCTGACCTTGGTGATACTGGAGTTTAGTGTTATTTTATTGTTGCTATTGTAGAAGGAGTGTCTGAACACAATGGAAATCTGGTAAACCAAAATCAAAAATGGCTGATTATAAAAATGTTATTAATCCAAGACTATTATATCTTGAAAAGGATCCAGACACAATTATAGAAAATTTAGTTCCAGTACCTGAGTTGCATACATTATTCGGAATATTTGCAACTTTTAAAAAACTATTGTCAAAACTATGGCCTGGCTTTGAAAAGTGGATAAACTCAAATTACATATTTTTCAGAGGTTACCATGGCATTGGATTTGATGGCAACAATGCCAACAGACTTTTAGATAAGTTAGATGTTCTTGCTCGTGATATTGCTCATCAAGGAAAGCTTGAATTATTTTCAGAAGCAATGAAGCATGCTACCTTTGGAGAAAAAATTATTGTATTATTGAATCTGTAGTTTTTGAATTCAAGATGTCTTATGCTAATTTAATGGAATATATTAATACTTACTTTAATAATATTTCTTTGAATATACCGTGGAAAGTTCATATTGCAGTTAACAATATTGTACCATTTATAAAAAGTACCAATACTTATAATGGACTTGAAATTTATTTTGAACAAGCAGGTGAATCTGTTCATCATGAGTTTAAAAAGACATGGATTAAGTATGAGACGACAAAGCCACCCAGACTATGCTAAACGATTGAAGTTAAGTGTTGTGGAATTTTCAACATTTAATAAATAATTAACAAGTTTACTATTCAAATTAATATATGTCAAAATTGTTGTTTCTAAAGTATTTTAATAGCATGAAAGATTTTAATCAAATATAAAATATAATGTTAGTTGTGTATTTTAAAGCTTAGTGTAGATATTTTTTACATTAATTGCATTTTGCTGTTGTTGCTTTTATACCTACATTTTTTTTTGTCCGAACACTTTTTAATGATTTTGGATGATATGGGAGTACACGAGAACACAGTAAAAATTAGGTTTCTTCATAAAATAATGTGAAATATATGAACTTTGATAAAGTTAACCATGTACCGCCCCTCCACTTTTTATCTAAAGTTTAGATGTGTAAAAATTTTATTCTAGCCATTCCTATGGAGGTTCTTAATACCTTTACCTAATTTATATACTATGTTATTTCTTAATAAGAAAAAAAAATTGGATGTGGGGAGACACCAAACCTGGCGGTTATTGTGGTTCACTGTGGCAGGCGCCATTTTAAAGATGGACCAATTCAGTATAAAATCATCAATATTTTTATCTTTTAGTTCCCATATATATTTTGACAGCATGGTGTCTTTTAAATACTTTTTATTTTTAAAAGATTGCTTATGATTGGTAAAACTTTTTTTCCATTCATCGTCTGTTATGCCAATATATTGTTTCTCGGGTACATTCTTAGAGGAAACAACACATTTTTTGATAAACAACTTTTCTGTAGTTTTTTGATTTAGGATTTCTTTTTTATTTAACAAAGCATGATTGTGATTTTTTTATAATTCTTTCTGTGCAACTATAGCTAAACTTTAATTCGCTACTGATTTGGCAACAACACGTAACTGACAATCAATACATTTTTCAGGAGCAACTAAAAACTAATTTATTTCTGTTTAAAACAGAAATAAATTAGTTTTTAGTTGCTCCTGAAAAATGTATTGATTGTCAGTTACGTGTTGTTGCCAAATCAGTAGCGAATTGTATTTCAATTAAAAATTTTATGTAATTTATTAGAGGGAGGGAAATGCTTATCGACCAATTATAAAAACACTTTTCCTATGTTAGTGGAAACATTTTTGCTATATAAGAGGTTGAACCAAATTACATTTCTAGTTCTATTCAGGTTTTTTTGTATTCTTTTTTTCAGGGTCAAATTTTTAAAACCACTTTTTTTAAGGGCATCTTTCAAATATTTGTTTGGAGGAATTAAATACATTTTCATTAGAAGAGTTTTGGTTTAACCTGTTATTAATTGAAATCAGGATTTGTTTTAGAATTTGTGGTGGATGATTTCAGTTAATATTAATATACAATAATTTATCATTTGGTTTTTTTAAAGGCTTATATGAATTTTCAGAGAGGTTAAATGTGATATCAAGAAAGTTCACAACTTTAAAATTTATGTTTATTTCGATTTGAAAGCCAATATTTTTAAAAAATTTTATAAAATCTTTTCAAATCTTATCTGTGCTATATACATGTATATATATATATATATATATATATATATATATATATATATATATATATATATATATATATATATATATATATATATACATATATATACATATATATACATATATATACATATATATACATATATATACATATATATACATATATATACATATATATATACATATATATACATATATATACATATATATACATATATATACATATATATATAAACACATACAATTTTAGTTTTTAATTCAAATCAAAATTTAAAAAGATACAGAACCAGAATCATGTACAATTTGAAGAACAACTTGGATTGCAGAACGTGGGTGCAAACTTGCAATAATTGCTTGTTCACAAGTTTTAGCAACTATCTTCTCCATAACCTTCTCTTTAACAGCTATTACAAGACTTCAATATGTCATTTTTATTCTTTTGCAAAAAAACTACTTATATTTTTTATAACATTATATAAAAATTAAACACTTGATAAAATGAATTCATTTACACAACAACATATATTTCTTTTAATTATTTAATAAATTATTTATTAGATTCACTGTATTTAGGTAAGTTAGGTAAAAGATTGTACTCTATGTTTTAAGGCAAATAAACTATTTCATTCATATTATATATTCATTTATATCAAATATAATAATTAAAATTGTATTCAATAATTGGATCAAATACCTGACATTCCAATTTTTGGCTTTAATATACATATAATAGTTGCTTTGTCAGTAATTTCTTTATTCATTTTAACTTCAACTGGACCATAAACAGCGCTTATAACTTTGGTTTGCCCTAAAAATAATTTCTATTATTAATAATAGAAATTATTTTTTTAATAAATTTAATAATCTACTAATAACTTTTTGTATATCTAATCTATTAATAAATCAATTAGATAAAGATTAATAAATCATTTAGATAAAGATAAAGATAAATCAAATAGATAATAAATGATAAATAATAAAAGATGATCTAAAAAAGTCAGTGATTAAGATATAGAAGATCGAAAAAATGGAAAATAAAACCAAAATATCAATAAATAATAAGTAATAAACATAGAACATAAAAAATATAAAATATAACAAACTTAAACATCCTTAAATTTCTAATTGATAAAGAACATAGATTAAAAGACAGAATTTTTATATATGTTCGCATACAATACAGACACACAGCTTGATTGAACACTTGATTTAACAGCCTAATAACAGTGAGAAAAACTTATTTAGTTTAAGTTTGTAAAAAACAGGGATGCAGAGTCCCAATAGGAGTGCAGCTTTAAATCCATAGATTATCCTGGTCATATTTAAAAAACCTGGAAATTTTTTTTACCAACACATTAAAGAAAAACTTTTTAATAAATAATTTTTGTTTTCCTCGAAGGTAAGTTCCGGATTTTTGATTTTTTTTTAAAAAAATACTGGTGACCTAAGTAAAATATATCATAGAGTAATTGATAAACTTTTACTGTTTTAATTATTTGATGACAAAAAAAATAATTTTAACTTCTATTTCCAGAAAACTATTTAGATATCCGGAAAAATCGAAATTTATAGAAATATCCAAAATTCCGGAAATATTTTGAAAAAGATAATCCCTGTAAATCTCTGATGTCCGGGAACTTTAAAAATGCTAGGTGACTTATTATCTGCAATAAGAAAAAAATACATAAGATTTAATGACTTGGAACTTATAATTTTTAAACCTGGAGTTCTAAAGTCCTGGCCACCATTATAAATAGACTCCAGATTCAAAAACTATTGTTCCTCTAACTTAAAAGTCTTATTTTTCTCAAAAGTATTTCATAAGTTTTTTTTACATTTTTGGAGCTCCTGGATACCAAAAACAAGGAAGAAATAATCTTTTTGTGACTTTCAAATTCAGAGTCCTTTTTGGGACTCCTCATCCCTGGTATAAATTTATAAAAGTTGGGCAGAGGTTGAGTGCAAAATAGAGAAGATAGGGGCAAATAATATTTGTATCATCTGAATGCTGTTTTCTTGAGTAAGTCATTTCTCAGACAAAGGCTAAATTATATACACACATAACAGAGCTGATATACATATATGATATTGAATTAGGATTATGAACCCATGTTAATCAGAATTTATCACGGTTTTTATTTATATCATAAGAGTAACTTGGTGGTACTAACTTATTTAAATTTTTTGTTCTGGTTACAAATAGTAATCGACTAAAAAATCAGTTTAGTTATGGTTATGGCATAATTTGACCAGAACTAAAATTCCTGTTCTAATTACTCAGGTTCTAGAAAATAGATATTATAAACTTTGTATAGTATTATTATTTTGATAAAAATAATTTAAACAGATTTTTGTAAATTTAATTGTTGAGTTTGAGCATTAATGGAAATAAGGTTTGGCTTATATAAAAAGTAATTAATTTTCTTGTTTAAATTACTATTTAATTAATATTTTACAACTAATTATATAATCAATAAAGTATTAAGAAATAGTTTTTTCTCTTACATCAATTCTTTCTTAGTTTAGAGATATAGCTGGTAGCTGCATCCACACAAAAATTTCTGTGTGCTAAAATTTTTTTGTGCAAAAATAATTAACAATTTTAACACTACCATTCCGAGGGAATTGTAGCATTGAGTGTTAATACTAGACCGAAGAGCAAGTTGTTAAATTTTGAAGCAAATTGTCTAAAGAGAAGTTTTTGTGTGGCAATAGTTACATATCTTAACAATAAATATACTTGTCAATTAAATTTTTAACATTTGTTCTTGACTCACACCAGCAACTTTGAAAAAGTCTTATATTTCATTCTAACAAAGTGGATAAAAAATAAAAAACAGGTTTAGCGCAGAAATACTTCATAATTGAAGTAAACAAGTCAAGAATGGTTCAGCGCAAAATCTGCAGTTTCAAGAAGATCTTATGACCCAAAAAAACAAGGATTAAATGTACTCACATAATGCCTGAAAAATATATCATTACTTACATCAAAAGCGAAAAAATTGTTAACTTGAATCCAAACAAGAGAAATGAGAAAAGTAGCTTGGCTCAAAAAATCATTTAGCCACATGATGGATGAAACTCTATTACATGCTTGAGTAAACTTTACATCTTAAGCTATGCTTGAGTAAACTTACATCTAAATCCAGCCTTTGCTGCCATTTAATCAAAATTCCTTCCGTGGGAATTAAATTTTATGGTGCCTTTGTGAAAAAGGAGTAAACATTTTAAATGTTTTTGAGGAGTTAACAAAAATGTTGTCAGTTACTGATTTTTGCATTAGTTCCTGCAATTTATTAATGACAACAATAATTAAAGCTTTGGAAACAACCTCCAGCATCACCAGCGTTTAGGAGATATAAAATGCTAAACATTGTCATGTCTCAAATGGACATTTTTGAACCTTGTAATAATGAGTTGGCTCCTGCAACTCAAATTTTATCTACCAGCAAATGCAATATAAAAGCAATTTACCGGCAATTGAAAAAACAGAACATTATTCAGTTGTCACTAATACTAAATCCAAAATAAAAGTGGTATTTTTTTCCAATATCAAGCTGCTTTGCAAAATGTTTAACACATTGTTTTGTCACAAACGGACAATTTTGAACCTCTTAAATATAAATTGTTTCCTGCAACTTATATTTTATCTGATGACAATGAAAAAAACCCATCTTTTTTGCACCTAAAATCAAAAATTATCGTAAAAGTCTCAAACTCAAACAAGACCAAATGCTTTCTTCCATAATGATAAAAAAAGAGTTTAATAATTTTTTAAATAATTTCTAATGGCTTCTCAATGCTTTGGATAAAGTTTTGGAAATATTATGCAAACCTAATAACTAGAGGTGTTTGAGGTCAAAAAAAAATCGTCAACCTTATTTCTATGTTTTATGGTCAAACCTTTATTTTACATTTTTTCTGCTGACCTGATGCCGACCTCACACATAAAAAAATTATGTTAATTTATCTACCTTTATTTATTAAAAGTTTATTACTTTATTAGTGATTTTGTTTTGAAACACCATTTGTTAAAATTATATCGTATATATCATGTATCAAAAAATAATTGCTGCGCTCTACTTGCGTTATAAAAATAGTTTAACTTACGTTTAGCCTCGGAATACATTTATTTAATATTTGATTTTGAGTAAAAAAAAATGCAGGCTAATTTTTTTTAAGAATAAATAAAATTTAAATATTTAACAATATTTAGTATCATATTTAAATAAATTTAACAGTTAAGTTAAACCCAAGCATTAACTTTAATTTTAAATATTTAAATCGAAATTAAATTACATATTTTTTATAAGAATAAAATTACATATTTTTGTTAAATTAGTTTTGAATTAAATCATTTATTTCTTTTATCAGAATTAAATTACATTTTAATGATCTTTCCTTCAAGCTTAAAGCATTTTTCAAGCGAAAAAACCAATCATTACAATAAAAAAAAAATTAGCATAAATTATTCATTACTATATAGAAACTTAAGAAAAATTTTTACAATCAAAAAGTTGCATAAATATTACTGTCCTCTTAATGCTTTAAAACAAGGCCTGATATATATATATATATATATATATATATATATATATATATATATATATATATATATATATATATATATATATATATATATATATATATATATATATATATTATATATATATATATATATATATATATATATATATATATATATATATTTAAACAATTTAAAATGTATCCTACAAAAAATTTTTTACAACTCCACACCCCTGATATATACTCTAGCACTATTAGATGCACTTTTTCTACTATAATAAACTTTTTTTCAACCTAAAATAGCAATTTTAATTTTAAAGCGCGTCTAATAGCGCTTCCGTTAGAATCTCAGTCCCAACTTACTGCACATGAATTGCCATTACTGGGTCACTTCAACAGGTTTTGCATTTTTTGACAATGATGTTCCATCTGAAATGAAGTTAGCCATGGTTGCGGCACTTGACAAGGAAACAACAGATCACATTCCCCAAAAAGCCTTCTGTCCAATATTACAACAAAATAAACTTTCTGATTTTGTATCGCAACACACCGGGAAACTTTTCACAGCTTTGAACATACCACAAGATTTCCTGACCAAAAATCCAGATACATGGGCCACTGATAACAACTACGTTGTTGGCCAGAACAAAGTTGTGAGTTTGAAAATCGTCAATAATGCAGCCAAGCGTGGAGTGGCCCTGATTCAAGCATTCAATGGAGTACTAACTAATCAAGTGGAACAGAAACAGTTTTTGTTACAAGTAGTAGAGAAACACTGCCATGACTTTCCTAATGCTAACAAGTCCACCCTAACTGTTCCAGCCGCATCTAGAACATCATTACTTGGACTTTAAGACATGTAATTAGTGAATAGTGATTTTTCAGTCTTAACTATGTTAAATTGACTCTATGTTTATTAGCTGAAGGTTCTAAAAGTTACTATTCTGGTACTATGTACAAAACAGTTGTTTGTTCTCTTTTACAACAATATGTGTCTTCAAATAAAAAAAGCAGGATTACCGATTACCATATGGTAATGTTGCAAAACACTGATTATTCCAAAACTTTGACACTGTTGAGCAACCAATAAACATTATCAGAATATATTCAAATTTTGCCATTTTGGGGGTGGCAGGATAAAAACACAGAACTTTTTTTTTGAGTGGCACCCTAATAATATATATATATATATATATATATATATATATATATATATATATATATATATATATATATATATATATATATATATATATATATATATATATATATATATATATATATATATATATATATATATATATATTATATATATATATATATATATATATTAGGGACTATTTTAGACCGCTATTGACAGCATCAACCATATTTGGGCGCCGCCCAAATTAAAATTTGAGG